CACCTCCCAGGTTCAAGCAATTCTCCTGCCTCAGCTTCCCAAGTAGCTGGGATTACAGGTACCCCCCACCATGCATGGATATTTTGTATTTTTAGTAGATACAGGGTTACACTATTTGACCAGGCTGGTCTCGAACTCCTAACCTCAATTGATCCAGCCACCTTGGCCTCCCAAAGTTCTGGGATTACAGATCGGAGCCACCGTGGCCGGCCAAGTTCTTTTTTTCTTTCTTTTTTTTTTTTTTGAGACGGTGTTTTGTTGTTGTTGCCTAGGCTACAAGCAGTGGCTTGATCTCAGCTTGATCTCAGCTCACCACAACCTCCACTTCCCGGCTTCAAACGATTCTCCTGCCTCTGCCTCCGCCTCCCGAGTAGCTGGGATTACAGGCATGCACCACCATGCCCGGCTAATTTTGTGTTTTTAGTAGAGACTGGTCCATTTTGGCCAGGCTGGCCTCGAACTCCCAACCTCAGGTGATCCGCCCACCTTGGCCTCCTAAAGTACTGGGATTACTGGTGTGAGTCACCGCACCAAACATTTTTCTTCCTAAACAAGGTACAATGAATAAACAGTTAAACACTTACATTTTTCCTTTTATACACTGGCTGTCTTGGATGTTGAAGTAGCTGGTACAGACATCCCTTTGTATCTGTGGAAAACTGGCTTCAGGACCTACTGTGGATACCAAAATCACAGATGCTCAAGTCCCTGATATAAAATGACATAGTGTTTGCCTATAACCATGCACATTCTTTCATTATGCTTTAAATTACCTCTAATTACTTATAATCCCTATTACAATGTAAATGCTATATAAATAGTTGTTATACTGTATTGCATAGGGAATGACAAGAAAAATAGTCTGTACATGTTTAATACAGATGCAGGGTTTTTTCCTGAATATTTTCGATCCATGGCTGGTTGAATCCATGAATGTAGAACCCAAGGATATGAAGGGCCAACTGTACTGATTGTCCTTTTACTAAATAGTCCAAGGCAGGTTCTGTTTTGACCTGGAACATGCTGTTTTTATTTCTTCCCTTTTTGTCCATTAGCTCTCAGATGCCTGCCTTCAGCAGTTTACTTCCCCTTTTAAATTTCCTTTTTAACCTATGGGCTAGAAAATTTGATAACCAAGCACATTAAAATTATATGTGAAAGTGTGACTAGATTGTAATGCAGGTAAGCATTGGGTAAAAATATGCTCTTATGTACTAACAATGGGGATCACTATTTTGAAAAGCAGTTTGGCAATACAAGCAAAAGCCCATAATGTGAGTTTGTGAGTTTTCATTACACAAATTCAATATATCATGATTTCTTAAAGAATATGGTCCGCATTGAGTAAATCTCTGATTTTTAGTTATATACATAATTCTATGATCTAGAACTAATCCTACTAGTTAGAAAAAAGCTACTTTGATAGAAAAGCTGTTAAGTTGCATTCATTCTCAATAATCATTTCCCGTGCTTTCTGTTATCCAATCTCTGCAAAACATTATTGTGTACATTTTCGTTTTTCTAGTTAATTTACGTAGGAGGGTGAATCTGTTCTGTTACTCAATCATAAACAGAAGTGGAAGTGCCAGTCCCATGTACTTAAATACTGACTACAAGCTTGCAGTTCTTAAATGTATCCCATTGCCTATTCTACAAGTTGAATGTGCAATACTCATGTGGATCTACAATAGTGATCTCAAATTTCACATGTCCAAAAACAAACATACAATGTCTGCTCTCAATTCCCAGACCTCACCGCTGAGTCTCCTATATGTCCTGAGATCTTGTAGTTATTCACTACTTTTTCATTTCACGTCTCAATAACTTACGTATCAACAAACCCCATTGATTCGTTGATTCTTCCTTCAAAATATATCCCATATCAGGCCGGGCGCAGTGGCTCAAGCCTGTAATCCCAGCACTTTGGGAGGCCAAGACGGGCGGATCACAAGATCAGGAGATCGAGACCATCCTGGCTAACACGGTGAAACCCCGTCTCTACTAAAAAATACAAAAAAAAAAAAACTAGCCAGGCGAGGTGGCAGGCACCTGTAGTCCCAGCTATTCGGGAGGCTGAGGCAGGAGAATGGCGTAAACCCGGGAGGCGGAGCTTGCAGTGAGCCGAGATCCGGCCACTGCACTCCAGCCTGGGCGACAGAGCGAGACTCTGTCTCAAAAATATATATATATCCCATATCCATCCACTTACTGTCACCACCACTAATGCCCTGGACCAAGGCAACATTTTTAATTTTTTTTTTTTTTTTTTTTTGAGATGGAATCTCGCTCTGTTGCCCAGGCTGGAGCACAGTGGCACCATCTCAGCTCACTGCAAGCTCTGCCTCCTGGGTTCATGCCATTTTCCCACCTTAGCTTCCCAAGTAACTGGGACTACAGGCACCCGCCACCACGCCTGATTAATTTTTTTGTATTTTCAATAGAGACGGGGTTTCACTATCTTACCCAGGATGGTCTCAATCTCCTGACCTTGTGAAACGCCCACCTCGGCCTCCCAAAGTGTTGGGATTACAGGCGTGAGCCACTGCACCCAGCCAACATTTTATAATTGTAATAGCTTCTAAGTGTTCTCCTGGTCATTTTTTTTTTTTTTACTCTAAAACTTTTATTTTGACTGGGCACCCTGGCTCACGCCTCTAATTCCAGCACTTTGGGAGGCTGAGGCGGGTGGATCACCTGAGGTCAGGAGTTCAATACCAGCCTGGCCAACATGGGAAAACCCTGTCTCTGCTAATAATACAAATATTAGCTGGATGTGGTGGTGCATGCCTGTAATCCCAGCTACTCGGGAGGCTGAGGCAGGAGAATCGCTTGAACCCAGGAGGCAGAGGTTGCAGTGAGCTGAGATCGCTCTATTGCACTCCAACCTAGGCGACAAGAGCGAAACTCCATCTCAAAAAAATAAATATTTATTTTTTTAGAGCAGTTACAGGTTCACAGCAAAGTTGTACAGAAAGTACATAGAGTTCCCATGTACTTCTGTCCTCATTCTCTTTTACTTTTCATTCTTGTCTCTTAACAATGTACTTTCAGCTCAGCAATGAATGGCCTTTTTTTAGAATGAAAGTTAAATCATGTCATTCCCAAAATCCTTCAGTGTCCTCCCATCCCACTAAGAAAAAGAATCTAAAGTCCTTATCAAGGACAACAAATTCTGGCACTGCACTTCCTCTCTGATTTCCTGTTCTACCACTCACCCATTTGCTTGCCGTCTTACAACTGCACTGACCGACTACTGTTTCTCAAGTATGTTTTAATTCAGTGGCAGTGTTTTTTCCAGTAATCCCTGATTCTCTAAGGTCATCTCATCCCAAAGCCCAGACTAAGGTAACAAAGGCTTAAACTTAGGGCAGTGAGAATGATGAAAAAGATACCTGAATAAAGTTATTTCACACTTTTTTAAAGCCTTTAATCTATGTAAAATAGAAATGTATTAAAAGCTTTTACTTCAAACTTAAATTCTAGTTTTAAGTCTGTCACTTTCAATAGGTGATATCTTTAGCAAATTACCACTTTCATTTTCAATTTCTGAAGTGTAAAGTGAAAGAATTGGCTGGATTAGATATGTGATTCTGGGTGGCTCATGCCTGTAATCCCAGCACTTTGGGAGGCTGAAACAGGTGGATTACTTGAGGTCAGGAGTTCGAGACCAGCCTGGCTAACATATAGTAAAACCCCGTCTCTACTAAAAATACAAAATTAGCTGTGCATGGTGGCACATGCCTGTAGTCCCAGCTACTTGGGAAACTGAGGCAAGAGAATCACTTGAACACAGGAGTGGGAGGTTGCAGCGAGCCAAGATCGTGTCACTGCACCCCAGCCTGGGTGACAGAGTAAGACTTTGTCTCTCAAAAAAAAAAAAAAAAAAGTGATTCTGTCCATCTATGTTCTATTAAACCTTATACTACTGCTTTGTTTTCATTAGGTCTAGGCCTTAAAAACCTGTACAATTTTTACATATAATTTTATCCTTGTGTGCATGAAGTTCAAGTTCTTTGTTTTCACAGTTGCCAAAAAATAGTATGCTTTTGATCCTAACTGAAACCTTAAAGGGAGAACTCATGGAGCCTACAACATTCAGATCTAAATTATTTTTTAAAACTGTAGAGATAGGAAAATTACCTTGAAACACACATTATATTCAGATAACAATTAAGAAACATGTAGACCTCTGAATTTTTGTTACTGGCCTAATAAGGATAAAGACTTTCTACCAGTGTATAAATCCGCTGTATCACTAAGCACACTGTCAAGTTCAACTGGCTTTTTTTTTTTTTTCGTTGCAAGACTTTGTTGATGAAGGAAGCACTTTATTGGTTTACATTGTGATACAAGCTCCTTTTCTCATCAGTGAAGCAGGCACTTCACAGACCGACATCAGTACTGTCTGTAAGAATTAATTACTAATAGTATCATCAGTGAGGATTAAGTTTCCTTAGAATACTGAATATCTTAGTAAATGGCTTTTTTAGCTTCTAGTTTATAATCAATAAGCATAACACTCCATTTATTATTCTTCAGTGAAAAAACTTACCAGTTTTTATTGTTAGTATTATGCAGATATGCCAGCAGAAGAAAGAGAAAAGAAGTTGGCTTCCTGCTCAAGACACCGATTCCGCTACATTCCACCCAACACACCAGAGAATTTTTGGGAAGTTGGTTTTCCTTCCACTCAGACTTGTATGGAAAGAGGTGAGAGTATAGATTGTAACATTTTATAATTATTTTTTTTAAATACTTGGCCGGGCACAGTGGCTCATGCCTATAATCCCAACACTTTGGCAGGCCGAGGCGGGTGGATCACCTGAGGTCAGGAGTTAAAGACCAGCCTGGCCAACATGGTGAAGTCCCATCTCTACTAAAATACAAAAAATTAGCCAGGCATGGTGGCACACGCCTGTAGTCCCAGCTACTCGGGAGGCTGAGGCAAGTGAATCGCTTGAACATAGGAGATGGAGGTTGCAGTGAGCCAAAATTGTGCCATTGCACTCCAGCCTGGGCAACAGAGCAAGACTCTGTCTCAAAAATAAAATGAAATAAGATAATAAAATAAAATACTGTATATGCGCAAATGTGAACATGCACCTTTTTTTCTATGGTTTCTTTACCTTTTCTGCAGGTTGGGTGCTAGTTTTGTGACATAAAAACATTCCTAAAGATAAAAGAACTCTTCAGTAATTTAGTTGGAATTAGAGATTGGTTATATCACTTTAATGTGATTGTGCTTATATTATTCTGCTTTACCAAATTTCAAAAAACAATTTCTCTTTTATTCTATCATCAAAATGATTTTTTTTTTTTTTTTTTAAATATAGGGCCTCACTCTGTCACCCAGGCTGGAGTGCAGTGGCATGCACAGTCATGGCTCACTGATGCCTCCGACTTATGGACTCAAACTATCCTTCTATCTCAGCCTTCCAGGTAGCGAGGACTACAGGCATGTGCCACCACACCCAGCACTTTTTTGTTTTGTTTTTCTCTAGAGACAGGGTCTCACTATGTTGCCCAGGCTGGTCTGGAACTCCTGACCTCAAGTGGTCCTCCTGCCTTGACCTCCCAAAACGCTGGGATTACAGCCATGAGCCACTGCACCCAGCCAAAATGACTTTAAATAAAATAAATAACCTAACAAAAACTACCAGCAAAGTTATATTTAAAAAGAGAGAATCTTTTTAAATCTCCTGCTATGAATTTTGGATTTTTAAACCTCACTTATCCAGAATGCTGCATGTTTATAAATGGTATCTGAATTAAAAAGATATTTATTTGTTAGGTTGTTGACATGCAACTAGCTTGTTTAGATATGGCACTTACATTTAATATAATTTGAGAATATATTCAGCTTTTAGGCTGTTAATAAAAGGTCAAGAGTAGTAATTTTTGTTCTGTCTTACCAGCAGCATAATGCTAAAAAATATAGATCCACACTTTTCTGGTTTTATATTTTCTACCAAAGTTGAGTTAGTTGGGTATGTGATCTGAAGTCTTCATGTCATATAACTTTCTTTGGGGTAGCATACTCCCATTTCTGTGCTCAAGCTAGGATTATTAATCTGGACATTACCACTGTTCCAGGCATATAGTAATTCATAGTCGCTAAGGTCTAAACTTCATTGTAATAATTGGTTTAAATGAAATGAAAAGCTCGAGTCCTTAGCCTTAAAAGAGCTATTTAATTAAGCAGGGTCCATTTCACAGACCCTTTGTTGTGAAAATATCATTCCAGAGGAGCTCATAGAGCATTTAATAGCTAGTTTTTATGAAGGGGCTTTTTTTTTTTTTTTTTGAGATAGAGTCTCACTGCAAGGCCCAGGCTGGAGTGCAGTGGCATGATCTCAGCTCACTGCAACCTCCACCTCCCAGGTTCAAGTGATTTTCCTGCCTCAGCCTCTTGAATAGCTGGGACTACAGGCACACGCCACCACACCCAGCTTTTTTTTCTTTGTATTTTTAGTAGAGATGGGGTTTCACCATTCTGGCCAGGCTTGTCTCGAACTCCTGACCTCAAGTGATCCACCCGCCTTGGCCTCCCAAAGTGCTGGGATTACAGGCTCGAGCCACCACACCCGGCCTGAAGGAGCCTCTTAAAGATTTTATTCTCTACATGATTGTATTCTTAGACTTTTTTTGTATGTGGCACATATAGTTCAAAACTCATTTGTTATTAAATGAATGTTGGTACAGACATTCAATCAGACATTCTCTTTAATAAGACAGTATACTCTTAGTTTTATGAAGAATTTTAATTCAAAATCATCCTTAAACATAAGAACTAAATATTCGCATTACATATGTACAGTTTATATATATATATATATAAACTAAATGCATTACATATGTACAGTTTATATATACCAAGTTACTTGAATGAAGCTGTTTAGAAAAAAGCCACAAGAGAGGAAGAATATTAGCTAAGCAGGGACTTATCTGACCTCTTTATTATTTTTTGCTCTTTTCTCCATGGTCCAAAGACTACCCGGGTGCAGACTAAGTCTTACCTTTTGGTTTAAAATACTGAGTTTTAGCTGTTCCAGAGGCCATTAGTTATCTCAGTTGATCGTTCAGTTACAGATCAAACTCCTTCTTTTACTCTTTCCCTTCGTTCTCACTACTGTACCTGACTTGTCTTAAAAAAAAAAATAGTTTTATGAAAACGGGATGTGTCTTCTGGTATGTGATTGAAAAGTATAGTAGTGTTTAGAATATTTATGATTTGACTTTTTAATTAATTAGTAGCCCTCAGGCTTTAGGCCTGTGTTTGTCAGTTATAGATAAACATCTAAAATTTTTACCCACTAGAAGAAAAACTAGCATTAAATAAATGTCAGATGATAAAATTACACCACCTAGAATTTCATTTCAGCCTTGCCATCTTATGGAAACTGTTCTCAGCTGGGCACAGTGTCTCACACCTGTAATCCCAGCACTTTGGGAGGCCAAGATGGGAGGATCCATTGAGCCCAGGAGTTCAAGACCAGCCGTGGCAGCAGAGTGAGACCCTGGGTCTAGACAAAATAAATAATAAAATTAGCCAGGTATGATGGCACATGCCTGTGGTCCCAGCGGTAACTCGGAAGGCTGAGATGGAAGGTTTGCTTGAGCCCTGGAGGTGGAGGCTGCAGTGAGCCGTGATTGCACCACTACACTCTAGCCTGGGCAACAGAGCAAGACCCTGTTTCAAAAAAACAATTAATTTAATGTAATTTTGAAAAGCAGCTGTTCTCAATGAAGAGTTCTGATGATTTAACTGCACAAGGAGAGAGAGACCTTCTTCACTTTTGGAGAAGCTCCAGATGTTTAACAGTGGGATAGTTTTTCCAAAAGACGCAAACTCTCTTGACAGCTTTCACTGTATTTCTGCTTTCCCCATTATTAAGCTAGATTGAGTCACCCTTGATGTGATATCTCACTGCCTGGTCACCAGATAGAATCAGTCTGGATAGAGCCTGTGATTGCCCCCCTATGCATATGGCAGAGCAAATACTTCACCTGAAAATTACATGCTTAGAGACACCTTAGGAGATCTAATAGTCTGAAGGGTATAGAGGGATTGTCATCTATTGAAATAGCTACTGTAAAAAGTGTTTTTGATAAGTACCTGAAATTTATAGTAGAGTTCATGTTGAGCACTTTGTCCCCCTTTGCAACTACCTATAGGAGGCAGAATAGGAAAGTTTAAGAATTCTGGTTCTGGAATAAGAAAGAGTTTGGGCCAGGTCCCAGCTCCTCTACTTGCTAGCTTTGTGAACTTGAACAAGTAATTTAACTTCCTTGGGTCTCTATTACCTCATCTGTGAAACAGGTATAGTAGAAACTACTTCAAACGAATGTGAGTTATATGAGATGATGTATGCAACCATTTGGTAAATGTTTACTGCTGTCATTATTATAAATGAGGAAACATGCTAAATAGTGAGATCAATCATCAGCATCACAAAGCTAATAATCAGAATTATATAAACTTACAAAGCATCAAATAAGAAACGTTTACTAGATATAAGCTGAAAGAAATACATGTTGCACATACAGTCTTCTAAGTTTATGGTTTGTTTTTAAGGTTATATTAAGGAAGATCTTGATCCTTGTCCTCGCCCAAAAAGACGTCAGCCTTACAACGCAATATTTTCTCCAAAAGGCAAGGAGCAGAAGACATAGACGTTGAAACAGAAACAATAGGATGGAGCAGTTTTTTCCTTGTTATTTATACTTAAAGTTGGTATTAAACATTGGTTTTTTGATCTTCTATAAATGGATTTATAAATCAGTTTTCTATTGAAAATGTTTGCGATATTTTGCTTTTGCACCTTTAAAACAATAAGGCGCTTTCATTTTGCACTCTAACTTAAGAGTTTTTATTTACTTTATGTAGTGATGTGATACCTAATACAATTTTGAAAATACAATAGTTGTAGTCTGATTTGTTGCCTTTCAGTTCTTTTCTTTTTGCTTCGTCTTCCCTTGGTATTTACATTGAGCAGTGACTTCATTTTAATCATTACAGATTTTTCTTAATCAGTTGCTCTTCTCTAGGTCATACCAGTGTCTAGCATTTAAGTCTTTTTTTTTTTTAAACAAAAAAGAAAGGCTATATTTTAATAGTTTTTTAACTCTCCAGCTTTTGTTGAATTGGGATCAGGTACTATACTGTCATAAATTCCTTTCAAGGTGACCACAAATATTGACTTTTTTTCCTTTCCCATGCACTGTAAACATTATTCTCTGATCTGGTCCTAATTTTCCAGCTCTTCACATGTTTTCTTTTCATCATACTTTCTTCCCCCCACCCCGAGAAGGAGTCTCGCTCTGTTGCCAGGCTGGAGTGCAGTGGCACAATCGCAGCCACTGCCACCTCCGCCTCCCAAGTTCAAGTGATTCTCCTGCCTCAGCCTCCCAAGTAGCTGGGACTACAGGCACGCACCACCATGCCCAGCTAATTTTTGTATTGTTAGTAGAGATGGGGTTTCACTGTGTTGGCCAGGATGGTCTTGATCTCTTGACCTCGTGATCCACCTGCCTTGGCCTCCCAAAGTGCTGGGATTAAAGGCATGAGCCACCGTGCCCAGCCATACTTTTTTTTTTTTTTTTTCCTGGTGCAGTTTCGAGGTTAAATATGTTGAGTTCTCTGCCCATTTGTTCAACTTCTATTGTATTATTTCTGTGGACTGACAAATGTTATGAACAATTTGGTTTCAAAATAGATTTTTCTATTTAGCAACTTTCTATTCCTCTAGGACCTAGTATATGAGTCACTAAGATGACTGACCAATCTGTGCCATCTTTTCTAGTGACATTTTGTTTATCAGTGTCTCTTTTGTGTATTTCTTTGATCCATATCTTGACAGTATTACATAAGCAGAAATGAAAGAGACATTGAATGGAATGTCTCACTCAAATATAAATAACCTTATAAATACAATCTTTACTTCTCAGAGTCCTAAAATCTTCTTGCTTAGTCTGGTCTTCCTTGTTGATCAAGGTTCTCGTGAATAAATGGCATTAGTTTGTGTTCTCACAAATAGGATAGGAAAAGGAATTACACATATTGATTATATACTTTATGTCAGACCACTTATGTACATTGTTTGGCTCCATGATTCTGAAATTTTTTTTTTTTTTTGAGGCGGAATCTCACTCTTTTGCCCAGGCTGGAGTACAGTGGCACAATCTCTGCTCACTGCAAGCTCCGCCTCCCAGGTTCATGCCATTCTCCTGCCTCAGCCTCCCGAGGAGCTGGGACTACAGGCTCCCGCCACCACGCCCAGCTTATTTTTTGTATTTTTTAGTAGAGACGGGGTTTCACTATGTTAGCCAGGATGGTCTCGATTTCCTGACCTTGTGATCCACCCGCCTCGGCCTCCCAAAGTGCTGGGATTACAGGCGTGAGCCATTGTGCCCGGCCATTCTGAATTTTTTATCACCGTATCATCACTTCTATTCAGCCCTTTTCTTCCCTTCCTAAATTGTTTATTCTGTGTTTGATTTTTGTTCTCTGCTGGTAGTCAGCTAATCTTCCAAAAATAATAGTAGTCATTGATTGATCACTTACTGTATGTCAAAAACTGTGTTATACTCTTCACATAAATGTTTCTCTTTCGATCCTCAAATAACCCTGTGAATTTATCACTTAATATTGTTAAGCGGCAAAAAAAAAGAGGATCCAAAAAACAGCAGATTAAAAAACAAATTACTGACTGTATTTTTCTCACCTTAAAAAGTCTAGAGGTCAGCAGTCCAAGGCCACTAGTGCAGCTCCATAATGGCCTTAGGGACCCAGATTTCTCCTGGTTTTCTGCTCTTCCATACTTTATATTGGTGTTCATCCTGGTATCTGTAAAGTAGTCTCCGCCACCTCTAGCATCATGTCCATGTTCTGCACAAAAAGAAGAAAAAAAGTACATGCCATTTGTTTTCGTTCCCTACAAAAAAGTTTCCAGAAAGCCCTACCTCATAACTTTTCTGACTTCTCAGAGGTCAGAATTATCCATCTCATGGCTACCTCTAATAACTAGTAGGGATGAAATTAGAACCCATAATTGCCTAATTCCAGAATCTATTAACTCATCTTCACTATAGTATAGTCCTTCTAAAGGCCAGGACTTTGAGAGACACCTGAATTTCAACAAGGCACCACAGGATGTGTGGTTGGAGCTGTATACTTCCAATGGATTTGGCTTTTTAAGAGGCAGCCTAAGCAGAGAGGTAGGGTTTGTCCACCTGATGGTAGCTTCACAGCTATCCATCCCATTTATAGCAGTTTTCATTTTCTCTTCAGTTACACTGTGAAGTTGAGTGAACTGAGGTCTGTCTCCCTTTTTATCTGCTGTGGACCAACTTCTACCTTTAAATGGAGTAAGGAAATAGACACATTTTAAAAACATTTCAGTGGCGGGACACGGTGGCTCATGCCTGTAATCCTAGCACTTTGGGAGGCCAGAGTGGGTGGATCACTTGAGGTCAAAACCTTGAGACCAGCCTGGCCAACATGATGAAACCCCATCTCTACTAAAATGTAAAAATTAGGCGTAGTGGCACACGCCTGTAATCCCAGCTACTCAGGAGGCTGAGGCAGGAGAATCGCTTAAATCTGGGAGGTGGAGGCTGCAGTGAGCCGAGATCACATCACTGCACTCCAGCCTGGGCAACACTTAGTCTCAAAAAAAACCCAAAAAAAAATTTGAGTTAGATACATAAATGCAAAATGGCTGTTTATGACAGTGCACTCAAGCTTTTCTTTAAAAAGATAATGTATATTAAAGGGCTTTATACATTTGTAAAGTATTTGTATAATAGACATGTTAGACGATATTTTCATAAGAATGTATGTCATTCACGGTTATATATAGTTACATGTAATGTCAGGTTGCCAGCAAGCTTTTTTTTTTTTTTTTTTTTTTTTTTTTGGTGATGGAGTCACTCTGTCACCCAGACTGGAATGCAGTGGTACGATGTCAGCTCACTACAACCTCCACCTCCTGAGTTCAAGCGGTTCTGCTGCCTCAGCCTCCTGGGTAGCTGGGATTACAGGCACCCGCCACCATGCCCGGCTAATTTTTGTATTTTTAGTAGAGATGGGGTTTCACCATGTTGGCCAGACTGGTCTCAAACTCTTGACCTCAGGTGATCCGTCCATCTCAGCCTGCCAAAGTACTAAGATTACAGGCAGGAGACACCACACCTGGCCACTAGCAAGCTTTTTAAAGTTAGAGACCATTGATTTAAACTTAGGAAACATGCAGAACTTATATGTCAGCACTTAACATTTGACTGTCAGCTTTCCTACCTTTAGTAAAGAGATACTCTGATTAAACCGTTTGAAACCTAAGGTTGTCAAATGGGACAGTGTGAATGAGTTAATCATGGGTACCCAAGTATGTGTAGAAGACATAATAATGTTACCTTGAGAGAAAAGCCAGATGAAACCGAAGAATATTCCCTCAAACATTTCATGCGGTGAAAAGTTTTCTCAAAGTCCAACTGGGAAGGCTGCTGCCAATAGGCTGAATGTATTAGTAACAGTTTAAACTGCATCTAGGCTGGGCACAGTGGCACAGGAGCTACTTGGGAGACTGAGGTGGGAGGATCCCTTCAGTCCCGGGAGGCTGAGGCAGCAGTGAGCCAAGATCGCGCCAGTGTGCTCCAGGCTGGATGACAGAGTGAGACCCTGTCTCAATAAATAACAAAATAATAAACTGCAACTAGCTTGTATTTTTAAATGTATATAGGGCATTCTTAGACCCTCTGAAAGAAATAAATTTGAAAGAGGGCAAAGATTTCTCCAAAGATTGTCTTTCTTTAAATTTTTTGTTTTTTCTTTTTATAGAGATGAGTTTTCACTATGTTGCCCAGGCTGGTCTTGAACTCCTGAGCTCAAGTGATTCTCCTGCCCTGGCCTCTCAAAGTGCTAGGATTACAGGCATGAGCCACTGCACCTGGCTCCAAGATGGTCTTTCATTTGTAATTCAGTTACGTAAAAAGACTAATGTTACATAAACCAAATAACACTAGTTCATTCATTTAACAAACATTTCTTCAGTGCTTTATCTTTACCAGGCACAATACTAAGTACAGTGTCAGGATTTGGCAAAATTTGACAGATATTCTCTAAAAGAGCAAGCTTTTAAAGAAACACCTAAGAATCTTACTTTGTCATCTTTGTCATCTCATAACATCCATGAGTTTAATTTTGAAAAATGCCACTTTGAACTATATCTTTGAACAGAAATAAGCATTTGAACTATATCTCAAATTTTACTATCCAACTGTGTATTTTCAGCATATCTAGCAGTTTAAGAGACACCTCAGTTTTTCTCTCTGCCAAGTTGAACTGTTAGAATTGTCCTTAGAAAACTGAAGTGTTGGCCGGGCACAGTGGCTCATGCGTGTAATCCCAGCACTTTGGGAAGCTGAGGCTGGAGGATCACTTGAGCCCAGCAGTTCAAGACTAACCTGGGCAACATGGCGAGACCTTGTCTCATAAAAATAATAATAGGCCGGGCGTGGTGGCTCACACCCGTAATCCCAGCACTTTGGGAGGCCAAGGCGGGCGAATCACCTGAGGTCAGAAGAGTTCGAGACCAGCCGGACCACCATGGAGAAACCTTGTCTCTCCTAAAAATACAAAATTGGCCAGGTGTGGTTGGTGGCACATGCCTGTAATCCCAGCTACTCGGGAGGCTGAGTCAGGAGAATGGCTTGAACCTGGCAGGCAGAGGTTGCAGTGAGCTGAGATCACACCATTGCACTCCAGCCTGGGTGGGCAATAAGAGCAAAACTCCATCT